TCAGCTGAGAGCTTCAGCTTTAGCCTCCTCCTCTTTTTATGATGATCCACCAGTTTTCTCTGATCCCCTTTTTTCTTACCTATCACACTGACTGTCACACTCAGGTTCTCTTATTTGTGGTAGTTCACGCTCTTCTCTCCTCCAGTTTCCAGGCAAAAAATCCAACCACACAGCTGAGAATGTATAGTAAAAAAAAGAAAATCTGACATTTCAGTTAGACATGAACAAATGTCACTGACCTGTTGGATACTGTTTCACAAAAAAACAGCTGTAACATCAATGTAACATCTGTTTGTGTAACCCTCCCAGATCCTACAAGAGAGGGGATGCCTTCAACTCCTACCACATGGGCTCCTTCGCCCCTGTCTGCAGCACCAATGACAGCGAGGTCTCGAGTGACGCTTTGACCGACGATGCCATGTCCGTGACAGACGGCAGTGTGTAAGTGGATATTAACCAAACACAGAGTGCCCTTGTAGAAGTGTACTTTGAGAATGTGGTTGCCTGATTCCAACAGTTGAAGCCAACCTGAAGTCAAAACCAGAGGAGTCTTTCTACTATATTGGGAATTCTGGTGAAGAGTAACTTCTTGAGCCACTTAATGAAGCGGTGGCAGCCGCAGGATGTGGCATAAATAGGTGCCCGGCCCCTTCTTTCCTTTTCCTTTTCAAAAATAACCCCCTACTATAAAGTACAAATACTCTGAATGAATACACAGTTTTGTAAGGTTGTTCCAGTACATTCTGTGATTTAGTGAACAAAGATAGTGATGGTGATATGTTTCAGCACCTTATTTGCAGTCACGAGTCCCTCAAGTGTCTAGGTACAATTAGGTTGTTGCGTGGTGCACAGCCCAAGTCAGGAGTGCTCAAGTCAGCTGCTTTTAGAAGACAATGTTACAAAGTGTTGTTAAAGTTCATCTTTACCTCACCTCACATGGGAGGCATACAGTCAACATAGATGATTTCAGTGATACAGCAGGGAAGATGAAAGAACAGTAATGTTTAGTGTGACCTGCTGGTGGGGCATCATAAAAATATGGCTGTCATAAAGAGTTTTCTTTATTACTGGAAACTCTCTGTTCAGGCATATCTCTTGATAGCCCGGTTTCAAAGGTGCCGCCACTGATAATAGTTCTATTCTGCTGTACTTTGACCCTGATAAGGCTGTGGCCACTTTGGTGACATCTACCACAACCAGCGCCTTCCTCACACACTTCCTGTGTCTGCTCCGACCTTGATCAGAATTTGTCTGCTTTTCTTCAGTGTCATTAACATTGAGCCATAAAGAGTGATCTCATATACAGATAGAAAAAAAGAAAAGAATAGAAGTTGAAATATGTGACTGAAAAGGAAGCGCTCGTGGAGAAAGAGAAGCGAATAGGGGATTTTTTCTTTTTTTTTTTGCTTATATCTTATTTATGGATTTGCTTGGACGCTAGGGAATGCAGCTGCGCAGACTTCAAACATTACCTTATCTTACAAACCAGCCTTTTGATGTGCGGAGATCAGAGGCTGGCTGCAGCAACGCTTGCCAAATGAAGATTGGGGGTGGGAGGTGGAGTGTGTGTTTGTGTGTGTGTGTGAGACAGAGGGGGGGTGAGGAAGCACTGCTTTTTATGCGCATGACTGTGGCATTTCAAAGCAAAACTGTAAAAGTGCTCCTCACTTAGGCTAGGTCATCAGGAAGCTACTGTTTAACATGGCAGAAAAAGGAAAACCCTGTCAAGTGCTACAGTTGTGTGTTTGCGTACTGTGTGAATCCATTTCTGCCTCTGCAGCTGCTCGCTACCTCGCAGCGGTTAGATAGCTGCACCCTGGGGTCCTGTTCTGAACTTTTCCAGAACTTGAACTTGAAGAGCTTTAGGTTTTGACACAAACGTCTGAATCAGTTGAACTGCACGTCAAATGGCCGCTCCCTGGTGTCACGTCTATGTAATGTCCTGTGGAGCTCTGGTGTGAATAGGGCAGGTCAGACTTTACAGCAAGTGCAGGGATGTGTTGTGTAATTTCCCCTGCACACTCGCACACATACACACACTCAAACACACACAAGTCTGGCTCCAGCCCTGGCCTAAACTAACTTCCAGTGGGTGAGAAAATGTTTGAGAGAGACAATGACCAGTTTTGTGCTCCATGTGTGAAAGGGGAACCTGGGTCACTGTCTGCTGAATTGGGTTCATAGGCAGAAATGGCTGATGCTGCATTTCTTTGAGGTTAACAGGATTTAGGCTGCGGGGGGCGCTGTCGTTTATTGACTACCGGGGATGGAAAATAATTCTGAACAATCTGAACCAAAATGCGTTCACGTGTCATGCTGTCAGTTTCTGTTTTGTTTTTGTATAAATCCTAAAAGATGAAAAGTGATGAAGGAAAAATTAGGGGCATTAGACATCCTCCTGCTCATCAGCAATGTGTTTGATCTACCCATCTGGCAAACAAGTGTCCTTCCAAATGACTGTTTGGTTCTTAATCCTGTATCTGATTTTGTAATTGACCTCTGTGATCTGTCTGTTAACCCACAGAGATGGCGTCCCTCCCTACAAGTTGGGCTCCAAGAAGCAGCTACAGAGGGAGATGCAGCGCAACATGAGGATGAACAGCCAGGTCTCTCTGCCTGCCTTCCCTGTAAGTTCACAAACACACACACTCTCAGAAGTCTTTTTGAACCCAGGTTCCAAAGTCTCATTTCCATACCTCCCTCTCTTCTGGGTCTCTCTTGGTTCTATGAATAGGACTGCACAAACTGTATTAGGGCATTCTTACTTCACAGCAGCAGCAAAGATCTAAAGAGGAGCGTCAAAGAGCCAGCCTCCCACTAACACACACCCACACACCCACACACATACGCTATATAAGTAAGTAGACGTACAAACACAAGCCCCCTCGCTACCTTTGGTGTCGTGCACTCCCCCCGTTAGAGATTTTCATGAAGTCTGCAGAAAAGGAGGAGGAGGTCTCTAAGCTGTTTATCACCACGGCGCTCAGAACACACCAGGGTTTTTCTTCCCTACTGATGCTGTAAATATGGAGAATAGGGAGAGATGAGGAAGATCTCTGCCGCTTTATCCCCAGGGCTCTGAAATCAGCCAAGTTTCCCAACACACACGCACACATGCACACACATGCACACATTGCTTTGATCCAGGGATGAATGGAGCAAAAGCACAGGGAAGTGACAACTTTCAACACAGTTGGCCCCCTTTTCCCATTGCACTCACACACACACACACACGTACATACATGTACACATATCAGACTTTTCCCCTAAAAATGAGGATAGAGAGAGTGCAACCTCAGTGCCTCAGACTGGAGTTTTATTCCAACTAATTGTAGATTATGGAACCGCTAAGAAAAATATATTTTGTCCAACTGTTGGTGTGTGGACTTTTTTTACTCTTTATTTACGTTTTCATTTTTATTTTGGTCGTGATTTTTTTTATTTTTACGTTGGCTTCCAGCCTATAGTGCACCAGCCTCAGGCTCCTCCTTTCTCTCCCTCGTTTCTTCCCTTCTTTCTTACTACAAAGGAAAGGGAGAAATAATTCAGAGGAAGAAAAACCAAGAAATCCACCACGCAAAAATGCTAATAATTTAATGCGTTTACTCACACAAACACACATGCTGACACAGACACTGTCCTTTGTGTCACTACTTTAAATGTGTCCAGTATTTGAAGAGGTAAGGATTAAATTCCCCCCAACCCTTCTGATATTTCATCCATTTTTTTTTTACCTTTATCTCTGTGCTCCAATCCTTCGCTCTCTTTATCTTCCTTGCTCTGCACATGTGTGCATCTCAACTTTTTTTTAATCCTCTCATCCCGTCCTCCCTGTAGTTCTTTTCCACCCCCTGTAGATGTGTGGCTTTTATTCCTAGATGTAAAGCCACTGCTTCCCATCTATCTATCCCTCCAACCCTGCCTTCACCACCCTATTCTCCCCCTACTGAGTGTTTGATATTTGACGAGGAAGTCTTTGAAGTGAGCTGACTTTAAAGAGGCCTGCTGATGCTGACAGAGGGAACTAGCTGCAGTCTCACCCAGCATGACCATACAGCAGGCGTGCTACCTCTTTAAACTTCCCAGTAGTCCTGGGTGCCTATGATAGTGCCCTGATCAGTACCACCAAGAGTGAGGAAGGCACTGATGGAGAACAATGCTTCAATGTAATTAAATAAGTTGAGAGGAAGTCTTTGAAGAAGTTAACATAGGGCTGGTGCTTGGGGAGTGACACAACAGCTAATTTGATGTCCTTCCTCACAAAGCGAACTCGATGTCCGCCAAAGGAGATGGTCCCAATGGAGCCAGCAGAGTTTGCAGCTAAGCTCATCTCACGCCTGGAGAGCCTGAAGAGAGAGCAGGACACCCTCAGCTCCCCGGAGGAGAGGCTCCAACAGATCCAAGAGGTTTGTAATGGATTTGGTTTTGTATTTGACCATGAGAGAGTGAAATTGTTGGGGTTTTTTTTCCAATGTGTGAGTAATTCCATGTTTGTTTTTTGCTAGGAGGAAGAAAGGGAGGACACTGAGATAGTAGGGAGTGCTCCTCAGCTCTCCCCTCATCCCTTGTCTCTCCTGTCTGGCTCCTCTGACGAGGATCCCCAGGCCATCTTGGATGAACACCTCTCCCGTGTGCTGAAGACCCCTGGCTGTCAGTCCCCTGCTGTCGTCCGACATTCACCCCGCTCCAGCTCGCCAGAGCACAGGCCTCTTCCCCGGGGAGGGTTCGGAGTCAAGGCCGTGGTAAGGACAGGGGCCCCCAGTTCTTCTGTCTCCAGTCCTGACCAAGGATCGTTCACGCTGGCCTTGGGCCCAGGCAGAACCCTGATAACTAGACAGAGCACGAAACATATCCACCATCACTACATCCACCATCATGCCAGTCCCAAGAGTAAAGATCAGATTGAAAGAGAGGCGGCCTTCAGGGTACACAGTCTGTGCTCCACCAGTGGAGACTGCCCTCCGTGCCAAAGTTATCAACGCAGCCGCAGCCTGGGCCGAGAGACATGCGGGGCTGCTTCAGCAGACAACACGATGGGGTCAGTTCCAAACCCTTCGACTTTATTCCTCATTCCCATTGATCCATTAAAATGCTAATTACTTCCCTCCTTCCTTCCCAGAAGGTCCAGCTCCTTATCCAGACACATGTGTCATTCAGGAACTGATGACGGTTTGGCAGAGAAATCTGTGGAAGACTGTGGGCCAGTACAGCTGCCCACCGACACAGCAGACCCCACCCAAAATGTATTGCAGTGGATTCTGGACAGCAAACAGCGAGGAAGATATAAGTCTCACAGGTGAGCACTGACCAGAGTAGCACTTAAGGCTTTGTTGTAAATGAAGAAAAATCCAATTTCTTGCCTCTGTGTTGCATCAGTCTGATGTGTGTTGTGAACCTGTCGCACTCCTGCAGTACCCAGAGCACCAAGAAGTCCTTTGGAGCCTCTTCCACCCAGACACACACATGGGGTGGTGGAGGAAGCTGTGGCCACCTACGTAGCCACCAGCCAGCACAACCATTTATCCAGGACCCTGCCATGCCTCCCCTACCCCCTCCCAACACTCTGGCCCAGCTGGAGGAGGCCTGTCGCAGACTGGAGGAGGTCTCCACCAAAACCATCAAGCAGAGGTAGGAACTGGAGACCTTTTAGCTATGGTTTTTTTAGCTGTTCCTAATTCCCTTCGTTTTATATCGCGATTTGTTCTCATCTTGGTAATTACAACACGTTTCTCTTCCTAGGCATCCTCCGTCTGGAGTCCAGCGTGAGAAGAGCCATCTAGTGCCTGCCCAGTCTCTAGCCAGTCCTGGTCCTGTCGGTCTCCTAGCTAGCCCCGGTCTCCAATCTGAAGAGTACGATGCCTCTAGCGTCCTGCCCTCCTCACTCTCCTCTCCTCTCTGCTCCTCTTCCTCCTCCTCTCAGCTATAGCCTCCACCTTGCAGTGTACTTCTACTCTTTTTAACTCTTCTTGTCGTCTGCACTGCCCGCCGCACATGTACAGAGGCAGACCCTTTAGATGCCACGCAGAACGCATGCACACACTCGAAAGAGAAGGTGACCCCCTCTCTGTGCAAAGTCTATTTCAGGCTTTGTACGTGCGCACACCTTTTGGTTGCTTGAATCTTGTCTGTTTGTGATGTGTGTTGGAAGTGCTACACCTGACTGAGGCTTTGCTTTCATATATATATCTGTATCATTTTATTGGCTGTCCTTCAGTGAGCTGGCCTTCAGTTAGGTTGGCAGATTCCAGCAAAAAGAAAGAAGAAGAGAGAGAGAGAGCGAGCTCCTCTGAAGTGAGAGTACAAAGCCCTGGACATAGCTGAAGGGGAATTGTTAATACTCTGCCCCCTTCTCTACGCTCACACAACACAAATGCACACTGTACCGATGGCACCGGGTCACTCACTGGTACTGATGTTTAGTCAAAGTGCTGTTTCTGTGTTTCCAGTCATGTGCTGTTTTCTGTAGCTGCGAGTTATCCATCTTCACTCAGGGCCTCTTATGAGCTTTGCTTCATTTCTGTTCTCCTTCTTTTCTTTTTATTTTGGTCTGTGTCCTAGTCAAATATTGCAAAGACTGCCTCTCATTCTGTCTCTCCGTGCCTTTTTTACCTTTAGGATAAAAGAGTGCAAGAAGAGTTCAGGGAGCCACGGGGTGTGCAGTGGAGGTGAGACAGTGGTGACATATTTCTTCTGTGGTGAGGAGATCCCCTACCGGAGGACCATGAAGAGCCACAGTCTCACTCTGGGCCACTTCAAGGAGCAGCTTCGAAAGAAAGGCAACTACAGGTGTGTTGAATGGAAACCTGAATACACAAAAGATTTTGGAGGGAGGTTATCCGTAACCTTTAGATCCAGCAGCAGGCTTAACTTGATTAAGTAAAGAAGAATGCAGGTAACGGGAATAAAAAAAATAAAAATAAAATTGGAAAAACCAAGAAAGGGAATCAACTTTCAACACTACATGTATTAAGCTGTAGCCTCGAAGAAGAACATGGTATCTGTTTAAATATGCTTCATACCAGTTCTGCAACTATTTAGCCAAAAAACATTAAAGACTAAAAGACTCCTGGATGACTAAAAAGCAAAGAGTTAGAAACAAAAACGATTATTATCATATAACATCGATTATTAGAATATTATGTTTCATCAATAAGGACTAGGTGTTAGTTTCCCCCCATTCATCAATAAGGACTAGGTGTTAGTTTTCCCCCACTTTAAATTTCCCATTTTGCTCAATTTCCTGTATTTTAGGGCCCAAACAACTGGTCGGCTAATCCAAAAAGAGTCACCTCATAATAATCCATTATGACAATAATCGTTAGTTGCAGCCCCACTTCCGCCACATTTGTGTGAAACGTTTGTGTAACCGTTTGCTTCAGTCTCTGGCCTCTGTGTGTGTGTGTGTGTGTGTGTGTGTGTGTGTATGTGTCTCTTGAGGGGGTGCAATGAAAAGGAAAAGGACAAGAGAGGAGGGAGGCTGAGTGGAGCGGGGGGTTAGTGGGAGAGTTTGAACTGCAGCGATTTGGGTCCCATCTGGTATTGATTTCCATGCTAAGGCACACTTAATACACATGGCTTTGAAGCCCTGGCCCCTTTCATTTCAACCAACAAAGACTCACACAAATGGCCAGCGTGCAAATTCTTCACTGATGCTATCAGGGGCTCTCTTTCTCTGCTGTGTTGTGTTGTGTGTGTGTGTGTGTGCAAACATGTGCACGCATGAATGTGCTTGTGTTGAACGCGCACACTATTTACACATGTTGTAATGATTTTATGGATATATTTGAAAGGCAGATTGTTAAACGCCAGATCTGCTTATTTGCAGTTCCACAGGGCTCTGACTCAGGCTGCACCGTGTTTGCACACAGAGATTCCACTTTGATTTCTTCTTTCCAGTGGGCATTAAAGGGAAAAGATCAAACATGTATTGTTCAGGCTGTTTCGGCCTCTAGGATAAGTGTGGGTTGATTGTTGTGTTAATAATTATTGGTATCATACTGTAATTTCTGAGTGAAGGAAAAAAAAGGAAAAACAAAAAAAGACGTCAAAGTTACTCCTTGGAATTTCTTACTCGCCAGATGTGAGCTGTGTTTTTTGGGTCAACAAATGTGACAAGTACTTAGTGGCAACTTCTTCACATCTGTCTCTTTGCCTCCCCACCTCCTCCTCCTCCACCACCTCCTCTCCTCTGCCTCACTGTCTCAGTTCCTGTGTCATACCATGCACATTTTTTGGAAAGGAGAGCTGTGCGGTGCTTTAATAGCAGCCAGAGAATGTGTGGAGTTGGGTCATTTCAACATGGCAGCGGTTCAACAAAGAACAGTACTGCCGGGCTCTGCCAGACGATATTGGTGCCAGATGTCAGTGCTAACGTAGAGAGCGGGGGAGAAGGGGGAGAAACAGATCTAGCCACATAAAACATGTTCCAGTGGAAATTCAGCCTCTCTCAGTCTCTTTCTGTCTCTTAGAGGGAAAAAAAAGAAAAATCATGGTTCTTTGAACTTTTCTTTTTTTTTTAAGAGTAGGACGGCACAACTGTTTTGATTTTTTTTTCTTTCCACCTACACATTGGGAAGGAGGATACAATTATCAGGCACGTCCTGTGCTTTTTCATGCTGCCTTATTTATCTACTTAGACTTTTAAACTCTGCTCATTTTCCTCCGAGAAGGCTCTTGTATTCCACTTAGTTGAAGCCTTCCTGCATTACAAATGGAGCTGCTTTTTATTAGTGACCACCCCCGTGCTGACTGGAGCACGTGTGCTCACAGGCACCTTTTTGCAAGGATGTTTTTGAGGCTCCGGTTCTGGTTTTATTAGTTTTGCATGTTCTTCTCTCGTCTCGTTAAAAAACAAAAAGTTTCACAAACACACACACACACAGACACACAAACATTCCAGTCACCCCACACATGGAGCAAATTGAGGCATTTTCCATTACATAGCAGTTAATGAGTGAATTCTGCCCCCCCCCCAACCCCCCTCCCCGAGCCAGCCCACCCCCGCTGATTTCTTTTCCTCCAACATGAGAATGGAGGGGTTCTGCATCATTAATGGCCTAGTGAGGTCATGGCAAATGAGAAGTCCCTCCTTACAATTTTCTTTTTCCTTTTTTTTTTTTTCAACCCACAGAAAGCTGTCAGTTTTCTTCCCAGAGTTCATAGTGACTGTTATTGATGAGTAATACAACAGGCACCAGCTCACCGCGCTGCTGTCTTTTCTACTTTTCAAACGTTGTCACTGGAAGCCCTTTATTAGCACTTGGCATGTCGGCAGCGCCCCCTCTGGTAGACAGGTTTAACAAATTCAGAACTTTTTCTTCAAATGACTTAATTTACATTTTTTTTAAAATCTGAAGAAAAATTATAAATCAGTGCAACT